TAGATAGATAGATAGATAGATAGATAGATAGATAGATAGATAGATAGTGTGTATAGTGAGTGTGTCTTCGTTAGAGCAACATAATGAAGCGTCTTTGTCCTGATGATGTTTAGTGCATTAGGGCCCATGCGTGAATACAAGCATGAAGCCCGACACCAGACTGAGGACCGGAGTCCTGAGGCGAATAAACGGGTGCAGCCACTCAAAACCTGCAGGACCCAACATCTGCCGGCTGAAGGAAGGGATGCTAGTTGGCCTCTCATCCCGTAGTTTGTGCCAGTCGAATGGAATGACCCATTTATTAGTCACGCTCATATGCACTCAGTAGTTCTACACTACATGAGAAAACAAATTTAAAAGTGTTATTATTTCAGTTATAAGCGAGTTTTTGTAGGATATGTAAGTATTTTAATCCCTCGGTAATGTGTTGAAGTGAATTTTTTAAATATAAGCTAACATACCCAGATAATGCATAGCTTAAACATGCAGCTTTGAAGAGGGAAATTACTATGAAAAATACATCCCAGTTGACCCTGGACTACCCATCCTAATAAGCTGAGAGGAGGCAGAAACCACCTAACGACGTGAAGCTTGACTTGATTCAATCGATAAATGGATCTTCTCCTTCATGCTTGTATACTGAGAGAAGACCTCTAATTAAGTGGCTTAGTTCAGCTCAAACATTGAGACTCACCTTATATGAAAGCACACTGAATGCTTAAAATGGACCAAATTGCATTAGTGAGGTTCTATATACATTCTGTGAATACCATGTAATTTTCTTTTATTGACAGTGTAAATAAGATATTTCGGTACAATGAAAACTTAATTATTGTGTCACTTTAATGAAGACGTGTTTTCTACTGTTCAACAGAAGTCATCAGGCAACCATTTCCCCTCAATGATTCTATTTATAATCACTAACGAATGAGCTAAAATGAAAGAAATCTGGGCTAATATTCTCTGAAATGCTCAGATTTGGGTTTCTATCTTGGTGGGCTGAACCTGTTGCACACAGACTTGGAATCCACATCGCATTAGGTTTAGATTTCAAGATGAATTAAACTTTTGGTGATTAAATCAAAGCGGATATTTCTCACTTACAAGAACCTCAACAGTTGTGTCCACAAGCTGAATGACATTAGGAAATTCAGTCTGAAGGCAGAATTTGGTAACTCAGAGTGAAACTTTTTTTTTTTTTTTTTTACTCAGACTGTAACTATTCCCTGACAGAAATGGGTCAGTGAGGCCCACGCTTCATCTTTCAGCAATAGATCCTCCACGTCCTCCATCACTCCCCGACTACATCCCATTACCGGCCAGAACAGGGACATCCTGGCTGTGTGTTTCCATAACAACGGCTGACCGGGCCACACTACAGAGGTGCAAAACCACAAACTCAAAAGACACAAATCCTCCACCTGATTGGCCTCACCCTTCTGTCTTTCTTTCTTAAAACTATCAAGGCAATGAACCATGAACAAAACACATACTCTGAGAAGAATATAGATCAGTTTTCTTGGAGGAGAAGATGACATAACACAAACTAAATGAGGCAGAATGCAGAGCAGAGTCATTTCATCCAGTCTTTTGCTCCGGAAATTGTCATTCCAGTGATTGAAGGCACAACATCCATTTCCCACCCCGTCCACTCTCTGCGACTATTCCTCCTTCTTCTTCCTTGTTCATTGTCATTGCCTTTTTCCTTTTAAGTGCACTTTCGCCCACACCACTTGGAAATTGATTGAAACAAAATGTCACAATTATGCCCTGTAGCTCGCCGCTTCAATTATTCATCAATTAGGGGGCCGGGCTCATTTTTTTTTTCCCCCTCTCCTCTGAGCTGATTTTTCATTCAGTTTGCTCAAGATGTATGGCTCCCCTGCTGTTAACCAGTCCAAAGTCATTAGTTTCTGGGTTTGCAATTAAAGCTGATGCATTATGCATGAGGCTCCGACTCAGCAGACACACACACGGCGGCGGCCGCGGCAGCTAGCTAGCGAGCGGGCTGGTAAGCTCTGGAGGCGTGGATGAGAAATTAATTTGCTCGCAATGAAGTTCTCTCCATCCCTCCCTCTCTGTCTCTGCGCTGTCTGGCAAGGCTGGAACAGATGCCAGCGGTTTTAGATTTAGACGGAAGCAGGTTCTCCCGAATTCTGTGCAACCGCGGTGTGTTTAGCATCGTCCTAACAGTTATACTCGTAATATAGTGTATCAAACAGCTGGTCATTGTGTTGGTCAAATGCTGGGCAGATGTGGGAAAAGTTTCACCAGCAGAACCGAAGAAAGACAGAAAACGTTTGTGTCTCAGACTACATCGGTTGTGTGTTTTTAGTCACTAAAGCTGTCTCCACCTGCTTCAGCTTATGAGGCTACAATCAAAAACTCTACAAAAGCTGTAGTTGAGAACAAGTGCCAATTTTTCTGTAAAGGCTTTTGGTCTGAGTCAACAACTAAAGGCCTGTGATGATCATCTACTGCCACCTAGTGAGCTCAGGGTCTCATGTGGAGCGTCAATGACGTATTCAGAGACCTAGTAAACAGCTTTTTTTTTTTCTTTTACCTTTCACATTTTAATGCTTTTGTGTTTGGTTTGCAACGACACCATAGTAGGGGCGTCCGTCCCCGCTGAAGCACCGGTATGAACAGAGGAGGGCGCGCACCGGAATAGTCTGCAAACTCCTCACCTTCACGTCCTGGAACACAAAAAAACGTGTTTCATTTGTGGGATCCTGCTTAGAATCAGCTGTGTCTCCATACCCACTAAACATGACATCGTTTGAGGTTTAAAATAGGAAAACATCTCAGTCATGCCATGTGTTATGGCAGCAGATCCAGTATCTGTGTCATTCTGAGTGAAGCACTTTTGAAAAGAATGGACGCGAGCAAGCAGGATTCTTCATAAACAAACAATCTTTTTCTAATAAAAAGGGTTTAACAATAAAAAAGGTTTCAAATACAATGTCCTTGTTTCCTAATTACACAGCGAGCACGGTCAAAAAACCGTACACATCCGTGCTTCTAAATGACGGTTAAATGACTCCAAACTTACAATACACATTTCTTTCATTAAATAAACGAACCATAAATAGCAAAAATCTAAATATATAAATTCCTACATTCTAAATTATATTCCCTAATATTCAAAATAGCATGGATGGATGAGGTTGGTGTTGTTGGGAAAGTGTTTCTTACTTGGATTTCAGTATCTGAGACAAAAGAAACTACAATTGTAGCTCCAGGAAAATATCAGAATCTGTGTTTGTGAATTAACTATAAATGATGTCACAGGAGGTCACAGGACAAACAAAGAATAAAGCCGCCTAAAACATTCATCATTATGATTATACAGGGCTACACGAGACAAACACGAATCAGTAGCTAGCATTAAACAGTTGCCTTGTTCTTCAATGAGTTTTTCTAATAACTGACCTCAGTCAGTTATTAAAACTTGTTTTGTTTTCAGAATCTACAATCACTTCTGTTATCTACGGTTCTTTGTAAGAAAAAGAGATGTTGACCTATGGAGAGTATTTTATTTAGAGTTTTAACATAATTCTGCAAACCGGTTGTGGATTTTTTTTTTTTTTTTAAATGAAAGACATTACAAAAATTTTTTTTGTTATTTTCAGGTACTTGCTTGTAACTCAGTCTAATAACTGACCTAACTGACAAGGCTCCTTCACATCATTTGAGTCTCAATCTGGAAAGGAAACGTTTCGCTCTGAGCTGAGCTGAAAGGGGGATTCGACCCGACCTTTTTCAGATGGACGAAACGCACGGCGTCCAGCCAGGTGGCGAGGAGCGGCGCCCTGCAGGCGGCGCAGCGCCGGGCGCCGGTCAGCAGCAACCGGAGGTCCGCCCGGCGGGCCAGAGCCCGGTGCACCAGAGAGAACCTCTGCTCATCCTCCCTCAGGACAAACCTGGCAACCTGCTCCTGTTGTGGAGCGAAGGGGAGGAGGGGGGGGGCACGAATGGGCATGAATGAGACAAGCTATCCGAATCTGTGTTTTTGAATATACAGGACTGTCTCAGAAAATTTGAATATTGTGATAATGTTCTTTATTTTCTGTAATGCAATTAAAAAAATCATGAAATGTCATACATTCTGGATTCATTACAAATCAATTGAAATATCGCAAGCCTTTTATTGTTTTAATATCGCTCATTATGGCTTACAGCTTAAGAAAACCCAAATATCCTATCTCAAAATATTAGAATATCGGATTTTTGAGTTTTCTTCAGCTGTATGCCATAATCAGCTATATTAAAACAACAAAAGGCTTGCGATATTTCAGTTGATTTGTAATGAATCCAAAATGTATGACATTTCATGATTTTTAATTGCATTACAGAAAATAAAGAACTTTATCACCATATTCAAATTTTCTGAGACAGTCCTGTATAATATAAATGAAGTCACAGGAGAAAAAAAGACTAAAGCTGCCTAAAACATTCATCATTATGATTATACAGGGCTACACGATACAAACATGAATCAGTAACTAGCATTAGACAGTTGCCTTGTTCTTCAATGAGCCGTGAGCCCCCTCACGCCCTCTTCAGGGGACGCCCACCTTTTTTTTTCTTATTTTTTTTTTCTTAAAGGTGCTCACCTTTAGTGGGAGCACCTGGAAGCTGGGCCGGGCCGGCCGGGGCTCCCGCCGGACGAAGGGGTTTCCCTCACAGAGCAACTCCTGCAGCGGCAACCGGTCAAACTGCACAGGCAACGGGCAGGGAGGCAACGGTCAGGGAGGCAATGATCAGGAAGGCAACGGGCAGGGAGGCAACGGTAGGGAGGCAACGGGCAGGAGGGAAACAGTCAGGAAGGCAACGGTAAGTAGGCAACGGGCAGGGAGGCAACGGTAGGGAGGCAATGGTAGGGAGGCAACGGTCAGGGAGGCAATGGTAGGGAGGCAACTGTCAGGAATGCAATGGTCAGGAAGGCAACGGTCAGGGAAGCAACGGTCAGGGAGGCAACGGTCAGGAAGGCAACGGTTAGGAGGCAATGGTAGGGGAGGCAATGGTCAGGGAGGCAATGGTAGGGAGGCAACGGTCAGAAAGGCAACGGTAAAGAGGCAATGGTCAGGAAGGCAGCGGTCAGGGAGGCAATGGCCAGGGAGGCAATGGTAGGGAGGCAATGGTAAGGAGGCAATGGTAAGGAGGCAATGGTAGGAAGGCAACGGTCAGGAAGGCAACGGTCAGGGAGGCCGTACCTCCACGGGGAACATGACCAACCGGTTCCCGGCCACGTCCACGACTTGGAGCTTCCTCAGAGCCGCAATACCCTGAAAGAGAGGCAGATGAAGGGTTTGATTACAGTTCTGAGAGCTGCTTCTGGGTTTCTAGCAGTTACTTTAACCCTATAATGCCAAATGTATCATATTTGATACATACGGTTTCTGAAGTCTTTTGGATCTGAGCCTTTTTGCATCATTCAATTGTAAAAGATTTGGTCAAACCCCTGTTGTACATTCAGATATACCTGATAACAACCAGTAGAAGACTACACCAAAATATATTTTTTACTTATTGCACGCTAATTTCATCAAAACAATTTATTTTCTTTTTTTTATATGTTGTTGAGGGGCCAAAGAAAGAGTTCAGACTAAAAACATCCAATATTCTTCCTATTTTGCTTGGATCAGGCTTTAAAGAGGTTAATGATGAGATGGCCAAAGTATGAAGTCAGAGATTTCTCAGAGAGAGAGAGAGAGAAGAGAGGAGGGGGAGAGAGAGGGAGACTGGTGGAGGTGTTGCTGCCCCCCCCCCCCC